TATTGCCATAATTATATAATAATTATAGCAATATAATAATTATATAAAAGCGAATAACAGCTGTGATAAATAATAAATAGTAAAAAAATTGCTTATAGCAATATTATATTATATATATATATAATATTGCTATAATATAGCAAGATAATGATTATATTATATATTGCTATAATATAGCAATACAATGATTATATTATATATTGCTATAATATAGTAATATAATGATTATATAATATTGCTATAATCATATCACAGCAATTTTTTACTATTTATTATTTATCACAGCTGTTATTCACTTTTCTGTTACTTTTAACGTTTCACCCCTTAAAATTGGGGGTGGTGGGACCTATGCATAGATGGCAGCACACTTAAACGATAAAAATACTTGAGCCCAGTGCCTCTGAAAGGGTTAAAAGAGAAAAATAAACAAAAATCGCATCCCTCGATAAACTACAATGTTTTTAACGAAGCAACTTTTCGAACAGATTACAAATCAAGTAAAGGATACTGTAGCAACCGTAACATCCCCCGTCGCCGTGCCAGCGTCGCCGCCCCCCGAGGAGGAGTCCGCCAGACGATCCACGTACCGGGAGTCTCGATCGCGATCGACTTCCGTATCGAGGGAGCGCAGCATGTCCCCTTTGTCGATGCAGCAAATTCCAGAGGAGGAGAGTCCGGCAGCGTCCACGCCTCCTCTTCGTCACTCGGTCAGCTTGACCTTGAGGAAGCAGCAGGCGATCGTCGACGAACCGGAGCCACCACCGTTCGCGAAGAGTCACTCGTTGGACGACAAGCCGGGCTCACCGACAACCCCGAGAGAGGACGACGAAAGCGCGCTGCACGGAAGCTCGGAGTTTATGCTGGTTCTGTACCCCGACGACCAAGACAAGAAACTTCTGGACGTCGTCGTCGGTTCGTCGAAGACTTCGGGTAAAGTCGTGGTTGTTTTTTTTCATTGGAAAACCATTAATATTATTATATACTACTTAATATACTACTTAATATATTATATATAATATAATATAATATACTGTAATATACTATATTTAATACTATATTCTATACTTTATTATATATAATATATATTATACATAATAATTATGATATATATTAATAATTAAATATATTAATGTGTACATATAGTAATATCAATGAATCGTTAACTTATTTTATTACGTCATTTAAAAAGATAACATGTCAATGAAGGAGCAAGTTAATAGTACCATGTATTATTAGACTTTGTTAATTTATAATCTAGCGCAATACTA